ACTATTTCCATCACATAAAAGAATGAATTGACGACCAAATTTCGATGATAATGACGATGGTAATAGTGAATAACGATGAAGAACAGCAAATAGATCCGTAGTACCACGATGGACAAGTGAATGCTAGCATATATGAACACGTATATTTCAATAGGAAAATCAGATTTAAAAGAGAAACTCCTAACCAGAACATAATGTTTGGCTTTATCAAGATTTTCTTTTGCAGTTGGTGCTGATATAGGAAAACATTCATCATTATCTAAATAGTTCCAATTTGAATAGTAAAATAAATGTAGAAACCTCGGATTTAAATCCGAGTGTTATGTGCATTTCAAAAAGTAACTAGACTGGCTACGATAGGGCATGCGACTAGACTAACCATTGTGTCTCAGTATCTAAATCAACAAAGATCGACAAGATCTATACATGCAAGTGCTGTTCTTACACTTCATCAACTCATAAGGTAGTAGTCATCAATTTCAGCTGAAATAAGTATCTTTGCAATAGATAACTTAACCTTGTTGTTTTCTAATGTTTTGTATACCATTTTGTAGCCCATGAAATTCTCTATCGAATTGTATATGACACGTAGCGTGGATCAAGGCGATCCACTAGATCCCTTGACTGTACAAAATCTTCTACCATTTAGGTGTCTGTTTCTCAACCCCAGAAACTAAGCTGAGGCAGTTTACCCTTCTGTGTGTCTTAATATACTTCACTATAACATTTCAATTGGTTTTCATAACATAGCACTAGAGGACCTAAAGGGATCCCTATAATATAGAAGTTGAGGACCTAAAAGTACCTCCAAATAACCTGGATAAGTCAATATTCGCATAGAAAAACACAGGAAATAATGACATTTTTTAGTATATAACTCAGCAATCTCTTGACGAATCATTATCATCTTCGAACTCGGCCGAGAGATTGATGAGACAATTCTGTGTGCATAATTTCATCACAATCGGATGATATTTTGAAGGAGTTATCGTGTAAACGGCCGAATGGACACACTGACCGATTCTATAGTGTGCTCACTTTTTGAGTACACAATAACGCTGTAGAATATCATCTTATTACCTGATCCAAAAGTAATTACATTAAAATATGTATTCTCATCGCCAACTTTCAAATTCATAAGAAACAAATGAGCTAACTGTTTAGCTTGTTGTACGTGACTGCCGTCCATTGAATTTGATACATCAACAATGAAAATAATTTCAACTTGTTCGTTCGAATTCGTCAATGTTTCGAATCGTGGATAAAAGGTAAGCATACATGCCTGAGAATTATGATTGTTCGATGTGTCAGTTGTTCCACTATTGTCATCCAATGACAATGTTTCATTTGATATTCGAGGTAAATTAGGACTGTTGAGTGTGATCGAAAGAATAAAATCTTGATCAAGTAAGACATTATCGACAAGTTCGATCATGGCTATACAATCAGTTAACTTTCGACGAAGACGATGTGTTGGCGAAAACAATTTCACTATTTTGTATGGCATTCGAATCGATGCTTTGAAACTGAATTCAACTTTTTCATCGACAATACCAATAGATCGTAAAATCGATTGATCTTTGGTTTCGACAGCTTTTTTCGATTGCCATGAAGCCATTTTGACTGGAAGGCGAAAAATAATATCACCATTTTCGATTTCTAATTCGGCGACATAGGTTATCTTGATGATAACTTCATTGTGCGCTGGCAAATTACCAACAGCAACACTGAACACTTGGGCTTCTTCTTGATGCATTAAATAGGCACCATGTCCCTTTTCAATTGCTTCTCTATACTCTCGTTTGGCTTGTTCTTTCTCTTTAACAACACCTTTGATAACTTTATTGTTGATATGTGCTTCAAAACCACATACAGTTGAATTTTCATGAAGAGGAAACACATATTTAGCTTCAATCGGTATCGAACTCGTATTGTGATAGACTTGATAGAGAACAACCTTTTCATTAAATAGAAACATGATGAATTAGTATCTTACTTCAATAGAAAAATAGATATAATTACTTCAACTGTAATATCAACAATTTGAGCACGAATATGAAATAATTTAAGTGGTACAAGTTTTCCCGATGATGAACATATTAAACCATAGTCTTGTTCAGCTATTTCAATGATTTCATCATTGATTGTCATGGGAACTTCGACTTGAATGCAAAAGATAATCTAATAATTGAATTCTAATCTAATAAAAAAGAATCATCATTACCATGTTCACTCAATTTTAATGCATGTTGTTGATGATGAATAATTGGTAATCGTTCTAATTCGATATTGAGATTATCTTTCGGTGCCCATGAAATTTCCACAATGTAGAGTAAACGTTGCTGATCGAGTTGATAGATCGCATATTCATTATCCTATTTCGATAAATATCAAATTTATGATTGCACACAGAGACCCTGCTGAGATACAAAACCCAAGATTCTTGGTCTTACNTTAGCTTCAATCGGTATCGAACTCGTATTGTGATAGACTTGATAGAGAACAACCTTTTCATTAAATAGAAACATGATGAATTAGTATCTTACTTCAATAGAAAAATAGATATAATTACTTCAACTGTAATATCAACAATTTGAGCACGAATATGAAATAATTTAAGTGGTACAAGTTTTCCCGATGATGAACATATTAAGCCATAGTCTTGTTCAGCTATTTCAATGATTTCATCATCGATTGTCATGGGAACTTCGACTTGAATGCAAAAGATAATCTAATAATTGAATTATAATCTAATAAAAAGAATCATCATTACCATGTTCACTCAATTTTAATGCATGTTGTTGATGATGAATAATTGGTAATCGTTCTAATTCGATATTGAGATTATCTTTTGGTGCCCATGAAATTTCCACAATGTAGAGTAAACGTTGTTGATCGAGTTGATAGATCGCATATTCATTATCCTATTTCGATAAATATCAAATTTATGATTGCACACAGAGATCCAGCTGAGATACAAAACCCAAGAGTCTTGGTCTTACAGGAATAACAGTGCTTTATTTAAAGGGACATACACTGATTGAATTTTGTTCTTCTCTCCACTTATACACAATACTTCGATCAACTCAAGAGTGCATCTGTAACTCAATTGTATATTCCGACTACAAGAAAAATGGAACTCTTATTTTCTAGACTGAAGCGCTCAATACATTAGATAACCCGGAATCTTGTATTCTGTCTCTAAGAGAAATCATTTTTTCGTTACATCCACTATTATTATGCAGTCAATTCTCTAATTGATTATGCTTATTTTGATTTCTTACGGTGATACCATTGTGAAAAGCGAAATCGAATGCACCTCTCATTGCATAATGACGTCTTGGGCAATAAATCAAAGTACTTTGTACTTTGTGGTTTTTTGCTATTTGAATAAATAACGGCAAAATTTTGTATAGAATTCTAACGACTTATACATTTATAAAGAAAACATTTTTGAAACAGCTTATCTCATGTTCAAACATTTATTTGATTGCAATTTAATTCAGAAAACGCAATCTTCAAGTGTATTATTAGTTTTAGCGCTTCTTTTAATGATACACTTAAATGTTGAAATTTTTAATAATTTTCTTTTTCCGATTAAATAAGAAACTTGATTGTGAAATGTGTCGTATGTTTTCAAAAATCCCTCTTATGGAAATGTAGCTGATTAAATTCGATATCGAATGGTACGTAAAAGAGTGTTCAATTATGAATTTAATGATCAAACCCATCAATATGAACATTTCACAAATAAATAAAGATAGTTTTCAAGCTCTACTGAAAGGATACTTCGAGTCAACAAAACCGAATCCTGTAATTCTACTTGAGAAAATTAGTTGCACAGTGGAGTTCTTGGAAAAAAAAACCTATGGAGAGAATTAGTCAAACAAATAAGAAACAGATCCGTGAATTCGATCTTCTTGACAGGACACAATAACACTAACTACTTACATTAAACATTGAATGGTTATCTTCTGTTCGTTTAACTCCATGTGTGCTATGAAAACCATCCGGAGCTTTGGTGAGAGTCGGTGAAAATGAATAATAATTAGCTGATTCGCCAAGGGCTACTTGACAAATGCATAACAGGCGACGACCTGGTCGTACTGTACTTGCTGTCGTATATTTTAAAGACGTCGAAGCAGAATCAGAAAAGTATATCCCATAACCTAGACAACCAACATCAGTACGTTCAACACCCAATTCTTCCACTACCATTTTAGGCAAGACCAAACCACTGAATGTACACATAATATTGTCTAGAGGATGAAATGAATATTTTACCGTGAAAGAATCCCGAGAAAATTGACATATTTCGATCCATGAAATAGTTGCCGTTGATGAGATAGTGTTGTACAAAAATTGAGTGCATCTGTCTGTTTAGCCACGCTGAATACGTTATGAATGACAATTTGTTCACCGCTAATGAACAAAAACGAATAAGCTATCATTATGAAAAAACGAATGTTAAATTCTCTCACCTATCTGTCGATGATTGAATGAGGTTAGCAATATTTTTAAAGTCGGGTGTTGAACTAGCCACCGTTTCAATATGACATTTTAATGCTCGATATTTAGCTTCGATTGGTGCTTTAACATTCCAATTGGTTAGTTCGTTGACTGTAAGCATATCTCGAAGCATCTGAGCAGGTAAAAGATTAAATAAAACGAATAAAAAGATGTAGACGTACTTGACATAAGTCTATTTTTTCAGTCAACGCTCGACGATTCTTGATGAGATCAATGTTATACTGTGGTCGATGTGGTATAAGTGAATAGAAACGAAGTGCAGCAGCAGGATTGTTGGTCGATTTGAGTTCAAGCAGTGCAGCTTCGGCTTCAATGATCTATTTTAATAGTTTAGAGCACAACTAATATAAATGTGTATATACCGTTTTGAGAGTGATCGATTCGAGTGATATGCTCAAAATATTATTCAAATCACCAATTGATTCTAACCAAATTGATTCAATTAATTGACATACATTCTCATCAAGTATCTGTGTATCGATACGATGAATAAATAAAGACTAAAAATAATTGATTTTCTTTTGAAAAATAGTTTCTCCTAGTCAATGTTATCTACTTACACGTAACAATAGTTTTGATCCTAATTCATTAGGTAACATCTCACGAATTCGTGTTACACGTGGCATTGTAGCCATTCGATAATAGTACGATGCAAACAGTCGTTGTTGTTCGTTTGGATCATCAGTGAATGCGTATTGTATCAATACTTTTTTATCGTGTTGTAGTTCTTCGCCAATAATAATCTGTTTTTCATATCGAAATCGTAGTCGATAATTACTCGTTGCTCGATCGTAGTACTGTTCGGGAATAACTTGAAGTTCAAGAACAAAAAATACACTTGAATTATCATTGGTTTCCTGTTATGAACAGTAGAAATATAAGAGAATAATAGCTAGAAATTAATACAAATCTACTTTGAAAATGGCCCATTTGCCAATCTCACAATGTGTCAACTCATCGAAACGAGGCAAATCGGGATCGTCCGAATTCCATAGTTTGATTTTTGTCAAATCGAATTTATTGATTTTAGTTACATTTGCTCGAGATTCTAATAAACAAGGATATCTGACATGATTTTTAAAACAACTGGTAATACCTCCCATCGAAATAGTGCCGGTTTTTATAAAATGTTCTTGATCTTCAGCTGACTTGATAATAAATTTCCTAATATCAATTGGTGTTTGACCAGGTGGCAAAGAACGACATTCGTATACATATTGAATATTGACCACTGGTAAGCCAAGCTGTTTGGCACGACGTATCTTGTAGCTATCTACATTACTCGTAGCCAAAACATAATCAGTCTAAAAAAAGTCAACTTCAACCACATGTTCGATGGAATAAAACGAGAACATACACTAGCTGTCAAAATATATGAAATATGTGCTTGCTGTTCTCGTAAATAGTTGATCAATTCTTGTTTAGCTTTGAAACCTATTTCATGACCAAGTTCGAGGACAATCGTTTTGCCATTGAATGGTGATAATAATGAAGTAGAGGTAGTAGCTTGGTTCATCTGAAAATAATCAATAATTTATGAACCAATCTACGAACGTATTCATTTTATGACCTATTTTTACTTAGGGGTATCCAAAAGTAGTGGCAACGACATTTTAGTACCACTTAGTAAGCTTGATAAGAGTTTCTTTTTACACAGGATGATAGAGAAAAAATGCTCTTTCTTTCTATGCTATTTGATCATACTTCACATAATATAATGGTAATAAATTTCCAGTAAGATTCGTTTCGTTATCATTCGTGATCGTTATAAGTTTGCATTGCAGTTTTNAATACTTTTTTTTTCCATTTCGATCGATAGTTTGAATCGAATATTGTTGTTAGACCACCTCCATTTGCTCCATTCGCTAACTGTTTCAAAGCATGCTTGTTTGCAACATTACTAACTGAACATGTAAATAAACGATCATGACGCATAGTTGGTCGACGTTTGAGTAGAACAAGAATCGAATTGAGATCATGAATATGTCCATCAGATAGAAGAATGAATTGACGACCAAATTTCGACGATAATGATGATGGTAATAGTGAATAACGATGAAGAACAGTAAATAAATTCGTATTACCACGATGAACAAGTGAATGCTACAATAATTTTATATACAGAAACAAGATTGAACAAAAACTACTAACCAGAACAAAATGTTTGGCTTTATCAAGATTTTCTTGTGTAATTCGTGTTGATATAGGAAAACATTCATAATTATCTAAATAGTTTCAATTTGAATAGTAAAATAATGATGTAGAACATTATCTTATTACCCGATCCAAAAGTGATTACATTAAAATATGTATTTTCATCGTCAATTTTCAAATTCATAAGAAACAAATGAGCTAACTGTTTAGCTTGTTGTACATGACTACCATCCATTGAATTTGATACATCAATAATGAAAATGATTTCAACTTGTTTGTTTGAATTCGTCAATGTTTCAAATCGTGGATAAAAGGTAAGCATACATGCTTGAGAATTGTGATTGTTCAATGTATCTGTTATTTCACTGTTGTCATCTAATAACAATGTTTCATTTGATATTCGGGGTAAATTAGGAGTGTCGAGTGTGATCGACAGAAGAAAATCTTGATTAAGTAAAACATTATCGATAAGTTCGATCATGGCTATACAATCAGTTAATTTTCGACGAAGACAATGTGTTGGTGAAAATAATTTCACTATTTTGTATGGCATTCGAATTGATGCTTTAAAACTAAATTTAACTTTTTCATCGACAATACTAAAAGATTGTAGAATCGATTGATCTTTGCTTTCGATTGCTTTTTTCGATTGCCATGAAGCCATTTTAACTGGAAGACGAAAAATAATATCATCATTTTCGATTTCTAATTCGGCAACATAGGTTATCTTGATGATCACTTCATTGTGTGCTGGTAAATTACCAACAGCAACGCTGAACACTTGAGCTTCTTCTCGATGCATTAAATAGGCACCATGACCCTTTTTAATTGCTTCTCGATACTCTTGTTTAGCTTGTTCTTTCTCTTTAACGACACCTTTGATAACTTTATTGTTAATATGTGCTTCAAAACCACATACAGTTGAGTTTTCATCAAGAGGAAACACATATTTAGCTTCAATCGGTATCGAACTCATATTGTAATAGACTTGATAGAGAACAACCTTTTTATTAAATAGAAACATGATGAATTAGTATTTTACTTCAATAAAAAAAGATAGATATAATTACTTCAACTGTAACATCAATAATCTGAGCACGAATATGACATGATTTAAGTGGTACAAGTTTTCCTGATGATGGACATATTAAACCATAGTCTTGTTCAGCTATTTCAATAGTCTCATCATTGATTGTCGTGAAATCTTCAACTAGAATGTAATAGATAATCCGATAATTAAATTCTAATCTAATAAAAAGAATCATCATTACCATGTTCACTCAATTTCAATGCATGTTCTTGATGATGAACAATTGATAATCGTTCTAATTCGATATTGAGAGCATCATTCAGTGCCCATGAAACTTCCACAATGTAGAGTAAACGTTGTTGATCAAGTTGATAGATTGCATATTCATTATCCTATTTCAACAAAAACTAAATGTTTGATGGTAGTATCAATTATTTACTCAATAGTCAAAGCTATCAGTATGAACAATTATCAAATAAACAAAAGAGAGTTCCCAAATTCTATCGACGAACTCCAAGATAAATGCTATTTTATGCAGTCAAAACATGTGTTTTTTTTTCTTCATACGTGATTTGACCACTGGAAATCGCAGAACTCTTACTAAATGTTTTAGAACTTGTCAACATTTTGTCGGTTGCACAAAGAAATATGAACTACTAGATTTCTATCTGATCCATTTTCTCGTTGACAGATCACAAGAACACTAATTACTTACAGTAAACATTGAACAATTATCTTCTGTTCGTTTAACTCCATGCGTACTATGAAAACCAATAGGTGGCTTGATGAGAGTTGGTGAAAATGAATAATAATTAGCTGTTTCGCCAAGTGCTACTTGACAAATGCATAACAAACGACGACCTGGTCGTACTGTGCTTGCTGTTGTATATTTTAAAGATGTCGAAGCACAATCAGAAAAGTAAATTCCATAACCGAGACAACCAACATCCGTACGTTCAACACCCAAGTCTTCTACTACTATTTTAGGCATGACTAAACCACTGAATTTACACACAATCACCTTATAAATATTGTTTAGAGGATGAAATCAATATTTTACCGTGAAAGAATCCCAAGAAAATTGACATATTTCGACCCATGAAATAGTTGCCGTTGATTAGATAGCGTTGTACAAAAATTGGATATATCAGTTTGCTTAGCCACGCTGAATACGTTGTGAATAATAATTTGTTCACGGCTAACAAACAAAAGACAAATAAGATATCATTACGAAATCGAATTTTAAATTTTCTCACCTATCTATCGATGATTGAATAAGATTAACAATATTCTTAAATTCAGATGTTGAACTAGCTATTGTTTCAATATGACATTGCAATGCTCGATATTTAGCTTCGATTGGTGCTTTTAAATTCCAATTGGTTAGTTCGTTAACTGTAAGCATATCTCGAAGCATCTGAACAGGGAAAAGATCAAATAAAAAACAAGAAAGAAATAGACGTACTTGACATAAATCTATTTTGTCGGTCAATGCTCGACGATTCTTGATGAGATCAATATTGTACTGTGATCGATGTGGTATAAGTGAATAGAAACGAAGTGCAGCTGTAGGATTATTGGTCGATTTGACTTCAAGCAGTGTAGCTTCAGCTTCAATGACCTATTTTAATAGTTTAGAGTACGAACTAATATAAATCTAGCAAAATGAATGTGTATACGGTTTTAAGAGAAATTGATTCGGGTGATATGCTTAAAATTTTATTTAGATCACCAATCGATTCTAACCAAATTGATTCGATCAATTGACACACATTTTCATCAAGTATCTGTGTATCGATATGATGAGTAAATAAAGACTGAAAATAATTAGTTTTCTTTTAAAAAATAGTTTCTTTTTGTCAATATTATTTACGTACGCGTAACAATAGTTTTGATCCTAATTTATTTGGTAACATCTCACGAATTCGTGTTATACGTGGCATTGTAGCTACTCGATAATAGTATGATGCAAACAATTGTTGTTGTTCGTTTGGATCATCACCAAATGCGTATTGTATCAACACTTTTTTATCATGTTGTTGTTCTTCGCCAATCATAATCTGTTTTTCATATCGAAATCGTAGTCGATAATCACTCGTTGTTCGATCATAGTACTGTTCAGGAATAACTTGAAGTTCAAGAATAAAAAATACACTTGAATTATCATTAGTTTCCTGTTATGAACAATAGAAAGATAAGAGAACAATAACTAGAAATCTACTTTGAAAATGGCCCATTTGCCAATCTCACAATTTGTCAACTCATCAAAACGAGGCAAATCGGCATCGTCTGAATTCCATAGTTTGATTTTAGTCAAATCGAATTTATTGATTTTAGTCACATTTGCTCGAGACTCTAATTAACAAGAATATCTGATATGTTTTCTAAACGAACTGATAATACCTTCAATGGAAATAGTACCAGTTTTTCTAAAATTTTCTTGATCTTCAGCTGACTTGATAATAAATTTGCTAATATCAATTGGAGTTTGACCCAGTGGCAAACAACGACATTCGTATACATATTGAACATTGACGAGTGGTAAGCCAAGCTGTTTAGCACGACGTATCTTGTAGCTATCTACATTATTCGTAGTCAAAACATAATCAGTCTAAAAAGAAGTCAACTTCAATCACACGTTTGATGAAATAAAACGAGGTCATACACTAGCTGTCAAAATATATGAAATATGTGCTTGCTGTTCTCGTAAATAATTGATCAATTCTTGTTTAGCTTTGAAGCCTATTTCACGGCCAAGTTCGAGTACAATTGTTTTACTATTGAATGGTGACAATAATGAAATAGATGCAGTAGCTTGTTTCATCGGAAAATAATCAACAATTTATAAATCAATCTACAAACGAATTCATTTCATAACCTATTTTCAATATAATCGTGTGATGACTAATATGGCTGCGCGGTATTCTATGCAAAGGAAGAAAGAAAGAAAAAATAAGGAATAGACAAATGTTGCTATTTTTATTTCTTTACCGCTCTGCACGTTGAGTTATTGCACAAGCTGATGAAACAGTTGGTATATTGTGGAAATTTGCATAAGTTATGAAGCGCAACGTTGATACACTTCATCAATAGTGTCGTCGCTAATTGTCCCATATTGTCGTAAAAATCATAAGAGTGTAGGAAAGCTTCTTGCTTTAAAAACAAAAATACTATGGTATTCTTGCAACTGAACGATTGAAGAACATAAACTCACACCCACTCACATCCCACCTAGCGAAGAACATACCCTATCATTTGATGAGCCTAGTGTACACATTTCGAGATCAAAAGTTGACTTAGAACCATGAAACTATCTTCAGTAATATTAATATAGATCAAGCCATAGTTTTTTTAAATTAACATCTGAACTTCCTTAAGTAGAGTAAAATGGAAAACTCTTAGCAGATTATATCAAGATGACTAAGGATTTGAGTGTAAATATTGATTTAAATGCAGACTCCTGTTTTGTTTGCATCTATTCCCTTGCCGATGTCCCTAACTATTTATCTAGATTATAAGGACACATTCTTGACAACAAAATTTTTCATAAGTATTTCAATTATATTTTTAAAAATATTTCGACTATTTTCCATGCAAATCTCGTTACCTGTGTAGTTACATCGATATTAGAAGGTATTACATGTTGTATAGTTGTCTCTTTGTTTGTACTGCTTTATCAAAGAATGCGCCTTCTTCGATCAATCCGTGCTTTGAATTGTTAATGTTTTTTATCATGAAAGAGTGATACAAATGTAATATCAATATCAATAGTTTTTTAGATCATGAACATTGATGTTGCTCTTCACGGACCAACTGATTCAAGTAAAAATACTCTACTTTTATGTTTTCCTATTTTGTTCTTTCCTTTCTTCTAAATCTTTTTAGTTCATCAGAAATTTTTCAATTAATCATCAAATCTACTTGCATTTAAAGGATCGGAGAATTTCTAAGATCTAATTGCCTCTCAATAGAAGAGAGTGAAAATGATTTTTTGAAAGTCTCGAGTAGTGATAATAATTACTTGCTGTAGTTTCAACAAAAAACATACATTTGTGTTGGTGACAATCTTACGTATTTTTCTCTGGAAAGAATATCCATACTTTCAGTAATTATATTCACACTCTTAATTTATCGCATTATGGGAGCTTTATGATCAGTTGTAATTCTGTTCATTGCTTCTTTGACGATAGATCATCTTCGGTGCTAGTTCTTAAATTTAATGCTGTCAAAGATGTGGACATGCAAGATATCGTTTTTCTTTGATTGTGAACGGAATAGTCAGTGTTAACGGATATGGCGAGATCGAATCTGTGTTGATGTTTATGCTTCTTATTTGCTGAATAAAACAATAGCAGTGTCAATAAATATATCTGAGATTCATATGAAGCAGATACGATCGACTAACGTTGCTTTACTATTCGACTTACCGAGAAGTATTATCAAACACAACTTGAGAGCAAGAATTCAAGTTCCAAATGCTACTTTTACAAATATTTTCTTCATCCGATAAATTCTATCGTTCGAATTTTTTATTCGAGAAATAATAGGTGCTCTACCATTATT